TTAACCTATGATTTAAAGTATCACCAAAATGAAATCAAAGATAAATCCTCTTATAGACAGAAATTTACATTTACTGGAAGAAAAATAAGTCAGTGCCCTATATAAAAATGCATAAAATCAAAAGTTTATGCAGATGAATATACAGAACCCTGCAAAAGTTTATAAAATCATAATTATCCATACATATATCTTAAGATTTATATAAAAAGATTTATATAAAATATATTTATATTTACATATAAATTTACATATATATTTACATATATATTTACATATAAATATATTTATATTTACATATATTATAATTAAATATATATTAACATATAATATATATAGAAAACATTAATAGTCTTGAATGAGACTACAAATAAATATTTTTATATTTACATATTATATAATTAAATATATATTAACATATAATATATATAGAAAACATTAATAGTCTTGAATGAGACTACAAATAAATATTTAACTTAAGGAAAAAATACACACACACACATATATATATTTTACCTATCCACAAAGGGGAATGGTATCTATGATGAATTTCTGACAATGGCAACAGAAAAAAATGCAATTGTGTTTAAATGCAGAAATCTTTCACATACTAATGCATTTGAGAAGAAAAGAAGTTGTGTATTACTCAGAAAAAACTAATGTAATGACCCGAAGAATCACATTTCACTTTGCAGTTATAGCCATTCACTAGTACCCTGGCCAGTGTGGGAATCAGAGCAACTGAAAATAAGATACTATACTAGTCAGTCCCCAGTACCTACTCTGTACTTGCTGTATGCACAGCATACGAAGTATTTTATTGCTGGAATCTGACAGGTTTGAGCAAATTAGGAGAACAGTAATACACCTTCATATTCAAAACCAGTATTTGATTACTTTATGAGTCACTGGCTCAAGGGAATTTTGTGAATCACATGATCATAGTGACACTTTTTTGACTCAGAAGAATGAAATGTTATTGATATATTACTCCCAAAATGAAAATGAGTTCTGTTTGATTGTGTGTATGTATGAGGATAAAAAGATATCTGTTAATGGTTGCAATACATTCCGACTCATGTGATATTATCATTGCACTGAAAAAAATTGTGTTCATCTATTTCAAGGTAGTGGTAAGCACTTCCTGTACGTCAACTCATCTGGCTCCAAGGAAGGATCCATTGCCAGAGTTACTACCTCCAAATCCTTCCCAGCAAGCCTCGGAATGTGTACTGTTCGGTTCTGGTTCTACACGATCGATCCCAGGAGTATGGGAATATTAAAGGTACAAAAGGAAGCCAGAGATTTATGATCACTGAAATATGCATGGCATGTTTAAACATTGTCTTTCCTTGTCTTATTTGTATTTTCGTTGGTCACACCACCAATGCTGATGCCATTAATTTCTCATTTCTTTCTGGGGCAATGGGACGTTGGCAAGCTGTGCTGTCATTCATCTTAATCTCATTCAAGATTTATCTCGCTGACAGCTGCCACCTGAACTCAATTATGTCGAATGCTATTTAAAAGATCATCTGGAGGTAAAAGAATTTGGGCAGATTCCACATGTATCTTCTTTAGCAGCTTAGCTAGGGACAGTAAAGAAATGTGATGTGAGGCATAATGGTGAAGAAGATAATTTTCTACCCAAAATTCAGTAAAGGAAAAGCAAATTTGAGATTTTAAGTGTATATCAGCTTACAGTAAAATCAACATGCGTGCTCTATTTTTACCTAATTTAAAGCAATAATCTGTACCAAATGCAGATACCTTTAATGAAACAAGTTGCTGCACTCATATTTTTCATTATATCAATGAGTTTTTCAATCATTATGAACCAATTTTAAGATCCTGGTTTCTAATTAAATGATTACATATCAACACACCACACCTAGTATTATTAACTTACAGTTTATCCAATCCTGTTTTTTAAATAAATGCAATTGGGATTTTTGTCCTTATGTTAAATGGTCCTCTGTAAATAACAGTTCTTATTAAGTTCTGCCTTATATTTACATGTATTAGAAACATTCTATGGTATCAATTTTAATTCTCACCTTCACCTGATGAGGAAAGTATATTTTTCCCAATTTTACAACAAAGAAACTGAGATTCAAAGAGCCTTAGTAACTTTTTCAAGATTTCACAGTCAAAATTCTGATTTCAAAAATCTGGTACCTTTTTTTGGTGGGGGGCAAGGAGGAACAGAGTCTTCCTCTGTCGCCCCGGCTGAAGTGCAATGGTGTGACCTCAGTTCACTGGAACCTCCGCCTCCCAGGTTCAAGTGGTTCTCTTGCCTCAGCCTCCTAAGTAGCTGGGATTACAGGCATGCATCACCCTGCCCAGCTAATTTTTTGTACTTTTAGTAGAGATGGGGTTTCACCGTGTTGGCCAGGCTGGTCTCAAACTCCTGACCTCATGATCCACCCACCTCATCATCCCAGAGTGCCAGGATTACAGGCGTGAGCCGCCATGCCCCCACCTCAAAAATATGATATCTGTTGCCCAGTTTCGTTTCTCAGATTCTCTGTGGTCAACCAGAGAAGTCAGAAGAGAAACATGTGAAAATGAGAGAAAGTAAAAAGGCCTTATCAATTCTAGGCATCGACAGAAATTGAAACTCTTAAGTAAAAATCTAAACGTGCAAAGAAAGTTGAGAATTTATCCTGACTCTATGAGGATGTCTGTTTTTTCAAAGGAAGCCAGTAAAACAACAGAGAAAGAGGTTCATTTTTAACAGTCTGGGAGCACATGAGTAAATGCAGAGTATGTAAAAATTTTATTTTTCATAGTTTTTACATCTAATCGATGAATATTCAGTAGATTAGCCTATTGCTTATGCTAAATTTTATCCATTGTAATTTATAACCATTGAGCTTCACAAAACACCTTATTTCTACTGACATTATGAAACACAGATTGCTACAACTGAAAAGGACACTAGTCTACAGTTCCTCACCAAAGCAAGTATCAATGGAAAGGCCACTAGACCTTTCTGTATAATATAGGCAAATTTCCGTCACTTTCTGAGAAATTGATGCTTCCTCAATTCAAAAAGATCACTTGTGTGTTCTTTAGCTACTCACCAGCTGGACCTTCAGTTCTTTAGTTACCCAGTAAATTGGCCCTCTGTGTTTAGCCATGTTTCTGTAAATAGCCTTTGAAATAGAAATGTTGACCTCATGTCTTGATTTCTGATACTTGGCTTTGGTGCCTACTGGTTTTTCTCACCAGAAGGTAGCAGTTAAGTAGATGCTTTTCTACTCTGACCAGTTTTCAGAGAGGTCTGCTAGAAAGAATAGTAGCAGGAAATTGATAACCAGCATGATACTGATTTTTCTGTAGCAATGGTCTTGGTGGGTATGTTAGGTCATTCTTGCATTGCTGTAAAGAAATACCTGAGACTGGTAATTTATAAAGGAAATAGGTTTAATTGGCTCACAGTTCTGCAGGCTGTACAGGAAGCATGGCACCAGGCATCTGCTCAGCTTCTGATGAGGCCTCAAGAAGCATTTAAGTATGGTGGAATGCAAAGTGGGAGCTGTCGCATGGTGAAAGCAGAGGCAACAGGGGGAGGTGCCAACATTTTTAAATGACCAGGTATCATGATAACTCACTCACTATCACGAAGACAGCACCCAGCCATGACAGATCTGCCCCCTATGACCCAAACAGCTCCCGCCAGTCCCCACCTCCAGCATTGGGGATTACAATTCAACATGAGATGTGGACGGGTCAAGTATCTAAACTACATCAATGGGGTTGACTGCCACAGTGACTTTCTTTTACCACGTTCATGGGTGACCTCAGTAGGGCCAATAATAAGTTCCTTTAAGCATTTGATGCAGAGGAAGAGAGGTATTTTTCTTTCTTTTAGATTACAAGTTGTAGGGACATAGACTAGGCGTGGGGCTGTTGGAGGCCATCTTTCCCCACAAAGGGAGAGAGATTGTTTGACAAAAAAGCTAACACACGGGGACACAGAGCTAAAGAAAGGGGAAGAAACAGAAACGTACCTGCTCTATTTAAACTCTCAATCCCACTTTTTCTGCTCCAGTAGAATTCTCCTTTTGTTATTTGCTACTGAAAAAGCCCTAACCATTACAGAAACTCAGCAAAAACCGTTTTCATGTGTCCTTATATCACTGATGGATCATAGCAGCTGGGAAAATCTTATTTTCTCAACTATTGCTGTGGAAAATCTTGAGTTATTCACAGACTGAAAACCTTCCTAAGCATGCAGTAATTTTACATGTGGAGGAACCAATGAAGTGGAAACCATTCTCCCTGCTCTTAGGATTGAAGCTTTCCATTAGCATGCTTTTCTCTTACCTGCAAGTTGGTGCTTTCTTACAATCTCTAATTTGGGTATTATAGTGCTGCAGGACCACTCCTTATAAATAAGATGTGGACCCATGTTTGTGGCTCTATTTTCACTAATAATTGACACTAAAATTCCAATTAATATAATCTGGACTTGTGGTGGGAAAAAAACTTCTTTTTCTAAGTAAAAAAGAAGTCCTTTATTCCCCTTCTCTAATAATGTTGACACCATAAAAAAATCTTAAAAGAATAAAATAAACGATCATATCTACTGTTGGTGTGGATGTAAAGAAATAGATATTTATTGCTAGTTGGACTATCAATTTGCAATTATGAAGAATATTTTGACAATTAAAAATTATAATTTTTATATTATTTACTAAAACATTTTACATCTAGAAATTTATTGTAATGAAATAAAGGTAGATATATATGCTATTTTATTTATAAAGTTTTTGTTGATGTTATTGTTGTTGTTTGAGATGGAGTCTTGCTCTGTCACCAGACTGGAGTGCAATGGCGCGATCTCAGCTCGCTGCAACCTCCGCCTCCCTGGTTCAAGCGATTCTCCTGCCTCAGACTCCTGAGCAGCTGGGATCACAGGTGCCCACCACCATTTTTGTATTTTTAGTAGAGATGGCATTTCACCATGTTGGTCAGGCTGGTCTCAATCTTCTGACCTAGTGATCCACCCGCCTTGGCCTCCCAAAGTGCTGGGATTACAGGCGTGAGCCACTGCACCTGACCAAAGGTTTTTTGTTTTTTTTTTAATCTCAATGTTTACTCTAGTAAATATTGGAAATCACTTGAGCATCAAATAGTAGGAAATACTAAAATATAATACATTCAGTCATATGGAAACACTGTAGAACAATTCTGTGAATGAATAATTAGTGATAAAAAGAAATGTTTATTATTCTTTAATGATCTAAGCAGATTGTTAAGGAATATGTATACTAGTATGCAATTAAAAAAATCAAATTTTGTGTGAAAATGTGTATATGGCTATATTTACCTATATAAATATATGTATGTATATATATGAGAGGGAAAAGGAATAAATGGAGAAATAGACACTACAATGGTTAAAATAATTATTTGTACTTTTTGAGATGAAAAAGTTTATTATTTTGCAGTCTTATGTGTTTTATAATTTTTCTACCTGAAACTTGTATTAGCTTTCTAATAAAAAATACATATTTCTAAAGGGTCCTTATATTTGGAAGGGTTGAGAGACACTGCCCCAGAATGTGCCATAAACACATGACCTCTTGGGTTAATAATAGCAAATGTGGTTCCAGAGTACATGGTAGCTTACAATTGTCTGAAACTATTTCTTACGTTGATTATAGAAACCCTTCAGAAGGGATATGGCAAAGAAAATACCTAAGATGAATTTTCAGAGGCAAGGGTTTATGAGGCAATAAAAATAGGAAGGCTTTCTCAAAAGAGATTCTGAATTGTAGATTGTGGGAGTATGTCTCCTTGTCAGCATAAATTTTCTGAAATCTCACTAAAGGTTATGCATTCCCTGCCCTTCCAGGATCTGCTCTGTATTCCAGAGAACTACACTTCCCTGGCTCCTTTGCTTTCTGCCTTCCTAGGTAGGTTTGGTCAATGGAAGGTACCCACGAAAGACCTGAGGACAGGAAGAGAAAACAAGCCTTCCTCCTCTCCCTATTTTGGATTGAATCTCTAACTGTGCCTTATCTGTGACTCAGCTTCCCCCAATTAGGCCATGCTTCCTTAGTTCCAGCTCCCATAGAACATGCCCGAAAATTTTTCTATTCTTCCAGCAGCTTGACTTTGGCGACTTTCTTCCTTTGTCCCTCTCGTTTTAGGGATGGAAACATTCTACATATGGTAGGTTGCATCATAATTTCCTTGCTGACTTCTCATCTGTTCCATAACCTTTGTAATCAGTCCCCTATATCTCTATATTAAACTTCCTTTATTTGAAAT